AATAACTACCTAATTACTATTGTATCATTTTGACACCTTTGTCACAGTAAAGACACATCAGAAGATTCTTCATAGAAATAGTCAACACCACTGGACAAAAGAAGGTACAAAGAAAAGTTATGTAAAGAGAACTGATAAACACATAGAAAGGCAAAATATGCGTAGGCAAATACTCCTTAACTTATTGTGACGAAAGATTGTTGCACCTTTAATACGTAGTGTTGCGCTATTGTGATTATCGGTCTCTAGGCACCCTGTTTCTCTATTGTTTTATTTCAGATTACATCGTCACAGTTTGGAAGCCTGATCCGACTAGAGCATGGACCACAGCTATCTGTCTATATGACATATTGTGGTGAAACCTAAATGGGAATCCAGCTTGGGGTATTCCTCCTTCAAAGAACGAAAGGAAGGAAGGAGATTGTGCAGAGGTCTCTTGCCAAGAGGTTCATTTGGAATAAGGTGCTAGACTGAATCACTATTAAAACCTTCCTCCAAAAGTGGCCCTAACTCAGATTTCAGTCATATATCTGAAGTCAAATTTTGTATTCATAGCCTGCAGCAGAATATCCTGTAAGGGTTGGTTTTGCAACAGAGTGAAAGAAGCCCTTTAACTTTCCACTTAAAGTGTAACCAACAGATTCTATTTTCACTTTAGGAAGCAGAAAGCTTAGTACTCTGAGAAGGGAGCCCAACAGCCTTCAGCACAGGTAGTGTGTACAACCGGAGGGCTCAACACTAGTCTCATGTAAATATTGATATGGCCTATTTTAAGTATATTTATGCACACTACATGTAACTACAGTTTGTCAATTAGTAAAGTTTACACGATGTTTATATGGATATGCACATGGATTTAGACAATCTAAAAACACCTGAAACCAAACCCAGGCCTAAGTCACTAGACACACAGCTAATGCACAGAGATGAAGTGGCAAAATTTGCTTTTGCACATTTGTATACCTACAGTGAGCAAAATTTATTTTAAATATTTAATGGGATAAAAATTGTTACAGTCGATGGTTAGGTTTTATAAAAACATACAAAGAGCTCATCTCAAACCAAGATTTTGAGAAATTAATTTTTTTTTTTTTCACGTAGTTGTGACCATATAAGCGACTGCTGCAATATTTGCAGTTGCAGCCTTGCAGGGTGACTTTGTGGATGCCTGGATTTCATGGTGTTTGCAAAATGTCTAGGTTAAGACAGCCAACACATCAAAAATCCAGGTAGATCTAACATAGAGCAGCTGCAGCCTGGGTCACAAGCAAGTAGACCCTCTGTCAAGCTCTGCATGTAGGGTTAGCTCCCCCCAAGAACTCTGTGGCAAACCCTCCCGGCCACTGTCAGGACATGTTCTTACCAGAGACTTCTTCACAGCCAGCTTTTCCACCATGACTGTGAAGAGGATCAAGACCAACAGTGCCAACTAGCTTAAATCCAGACAGATCTGGTAATCTAACGAGCATACGCTCAACTCACTGGAGTATCTGCTTAGATACTTGTTCAGCATAGTGTTTAAATACTTGTTTAACTTTAAGTACTGACAGCCAATTGATTTTTTAACAGGAAATTTAAAAATTAGACTCTGAAGTGCTCTTCTGAGTATTACTGGACCTAAATAAATACATAAAGGCTAATCATGTAATGAAATGCTGTGATGAATCAGCACAGAACCAATGTATATTATTCATATGTAGAGTCTGCATCATTAAAATCCTTAAATTTATTTCCATCTATTTTTCTAACACTGATCACTTTTCAACATAAATGGCAATATTTCCAAATTTTCATTGAAAGGGAAAAATTCTCAAACCTGATTTCAGAATTCAGTAAGAATTACAAAGTGAAAGACTTAATGATAAGGGAAAGGAAAGCCTAAATAATTGTAACTTGTGCTTTTAAATTTCTTTATCATTCAAGGCCAACTTATAAAGTTGAGCATGTGAAAGTTTACATGTAAGCAACAGTGACACATTTGCAGGCAAATGTGAGGACACATTTGACCATGTATTTAAACAAATTGTCAACAATTTGTTTGCAAAACTTCTGAGAGAAAAATCCAGACTCTGTTAAAATTACTTTTGATCTGAATTTGACAGGAGGTGAGGATCTCATAAAGGTCTCCTCTGCATCAGAGGACATTTTACCCTAACCAAATCAATGCCATCAATAGAGGCACAACTACCTCGTGTGCATCCTGTCATACAAGCATAGCATTTATATTCATATTACTTATTCCCATAGGGGAAACAGAACAAGTTATTTAAGTGTAAAATTCAAATAAATAATATACTATACTGGTACAACTCATACCACAAGTCAGCATCGAGCAGGGAATATACAAAGATCTCTTCGTAAAGTCTTCTCACTAAAGTATGATTTGTTATCAAGAGCATATTGAAATGCATACAAATATTTTTACATGGTAATATATTTTAAAATGTCACCCATTACTGAAATCTTGTCTACATGTCAACTTAATGAATGGCCATGGAAGAATAAGTTTCCTGAATAAGGGCATATCTGTAACTGTAAAGCTAACAAAGCCTTCCCGATTACAACAGTAGTAGGCACCACTGAAAGTATTATTTAAATATATAATATATATCTCTCATTAATACAGAATCATAAAGGTTAAAAAAAGGTTAAGCAAGCAAATAGTTACTATCAGGGTGACTACGCTTACTAACTAACGTTAACTCATTAAGTGCCTGAATGAATTGTTCACAATAGGCAAATACCTGCAAAGCACCATACAATTATGAATGATATGTTGTATTTACTTTTCATAGTGTGCTGATCTGCAATACAGAAAACACTTTTACCTTTTGGATATACATCAGTTATTAAGTGAAAGAATACTTAAAACCATGTTTCCTTCATGCCCAAGACATTCTAGGAAATTTACTTTCTACTATTTTTCTCAGCAAAAACAACAGTAAATCACCACCATCCTTTCAAATTCAGTATTATAAAGTGATTTGTGTAAAACCTAAAAATTATCTAAAACATAGGGGCTGCCTGCTCTTGACTTTCTGACTGAATGGATAAAAAGGATCCAGTGCGATAGCAAGGCAGAAAACTAGTAAAGCAGAGGGAAAGCAACAACAGCAAACCCCAGTTTGACTAAAATCAGCGTGCTGCCATTGAAACAAAAAACCTCTTTCTGTAGTCCCCAAGATAATTCATTTGCATGAAGAGCAGATTTTGGTTCAAAGTACTTTTATATTCAGCAACGACATTTAAAGGGCAAATTCTAGGACACTACACTTAAAAATAAATTCTGTGCAGAACTAATTAATTGTCGTAATTTTCTTGTGTTGCAATTATTTAAGGGGTTCAGATCACAAAGAAAAAATTGTATTGCATGCAGACACCAGTTGCATCCAATTTTGAAACCCATATCTTGCCATTTGTGCCCAACTAAAGCATGTACCTATTTTCTTAGCTGTTTTAACTTCCCCACATACAAAAGTTCTGAACAAAACTGTACCTGTGAATTCACTCACACAGAAGTATCAGCCTTTGCTATCTTAAACCTACTTATTTTCCGGGAGTGCTTAGAACTGTTTTCATATCTCCTAATGAAGAATTAATAAGCCTCCATTGCACATATGGGCATGCATCCCAGAACAAGAAAACAAGACTACCAGAACTTTAATGGGAAAAATGGCACATTAAATGTTGTATTAGCATCCAAAAGTGCTTGTTTAGGTAGATATGTAGACTGCACCAACAAGATGAAATCAAGTTCAACAGCAACAAATGCTGAAAGAATCAACCTTAATTCTACTCACCCACCCAGAAATGTTCAGTTCTATTTGTTATTTTATGTTAAGCGTCCCTTCAAGAACAGAAAGTAGAAAAATGTCTTTCCTGATTCTGTATCTAATAAGGATAATCAAACATAAAGAAACTAGTGTGCCCTTGCTTATAAACAACAGAAAAAACCATAATGCCATTTCAAAGAGGCATACAACAACCGCAACCCCATGTGAGGGGAGGTCTACATGGATAATCAAAGTAAGGATTTAGAAATCAGATTATTTTCTTGTAAAGATAATACAGCTGTCACTGAAACAATGAACATCCCCCTACTCATCTAAACAGACTCATCCACTCTCATTTAATATTTAGTTCCCCCTTTCTAACTGTGTAGGTTAATTAGTGCTAACCTATGTATAGGGAAAAGGTACGTCATCCTCCTGGAGTTTTAGGCAAGGAGCCAAAGGCCAGACACAGAACTATCACAGCAAGGAAACAACTCTGACCTGATGTAGGATGTGGTTGTTTAGAGAGTAAGCCAGAAGCATTGTGACTATTTTTGCATGGTAGTATCCCTAAAGCTGAGGGCTATCATTGCACTTCTGGTACTAAGAATATTCACCCCACTAGTGCCAGATGTTTGAACAAAAATTTAAGGTTCAAAATACTACAACAAAATTTTTCTCATTCTTTTGTAGGTTATTAATCAACAAGCTGCATTATTTTTCTCCAGTAGTATTTTGTGTCAGTTTTAAAGCTAAAAAAACCCTATGTGGATGAACAGTTTGTGTTTACTTACAAAAATTAAGAAAATACAGAATATAAGCAATTAAAATGTAGCCCTTTAACAGTAGTACTCTGGCAGGGACCATCATCACAATAAATGGTCTGGAATAGATATAATCACTGTATTATTCCCTTGACACACTTCCATAATTCAGTCAGTCAGAAGGATTTCTTTCTTTCATTATGTTACCCACAAATATGGTGTGAATTTTGGATCTAAAATTCTAATTTGAAGCAAAGGCTTTTCATCAAATTCATATACTTCTTTGGATAAAGGGCCATCAATTATCAAGCATACAGAAACTGGTTATGATAGTATTTGCATGTTTGATTACTTGTGCGCTAGAGCTCAAGGTAATTTTGCCAATTTATACTGAAAGCGTCATCAACTAACTACTGTACGCCTGAAATGTCAAAACAACTTTAAGTATTAAAACCAATTTTTTGTAAAACAGTTCTATTCTAGAACAAGTATTTCTGGTACTTAAGAGTAAAAACACACTTTAATTGAAATCCTGGTGCTTGCACATTGTCTTCTGTGTCCTATGGCTGCCTTTCCTTCTCTAGCTGCAAAGCCCACTTGGCAGTGGGGTTTTTTTATTGGTTTTAGGTACTTTAAAATAAAAGAAACCTAGAGTAGAGCTATCAAGCCCTGGAAAAGGTGACCCTTCCCGTGTTTTGTTTTTTTAATCCATTCAGAAGGGCTATGTGTAATTATACTCTTTATCAAAGAAACCTAACTATAATTTGGCATGAGTAATGTTTACAGTTCTGTAATGTACTGTAATAGTTTGAGATAACTTTAAGAAAACCCTCCAAATACTGAGATGCTTATTGCAATTCCCTTCTAAAGATTCAAAAGCATTCTAATGTCTTTGCATTTCCTATTTTTATCTTCTTTATAGCATATGGTGTATTTGAAATATGCTTTCCACATAAAATCAAACTTGAAAATACCCACTTAAAAACAATATTTCAGTAAATAGAGGGTTTAAGGCAAGTCATTCATTTGGAAAAATTCATTTCCATTTGTTAATCTAGACTGACACAATTTTATTCCACCCCATCAGTGCCTTGGGATACACAACGTACATTCAGCAAAGGGCACACATATGACCCTATGGACATACGTTGCAAGTCCTGAGTGCCCATTGAAATAATGGTAATATCTTCATATAAGGCGTGACCCACAGGGACATGGCATGGGAGGGGTTAATTTGTTTTGTTTCCAGTCTCACTATGGTATGTGATTTTCCTAGGTAATGCATTCTTTTCTTACTAAACATCTTTGCAAACAAATACAAACCCCTTTAAAAGGTGCTAAAAATGGGTTTCTGAAAACATACAAAATATATTCATCATAGTATTTCCTCAATCACTGTTTTAATGCTTGATATCTGCAGGTTATTTCTTGTTTCTGACTGAAACTGTTATTTGTTGTGGAATAATTGTTCTTTTGCAAAAGATTTTCTTCTTCTAGTTTTTTGGACCACACGGGCTGGATGCTTTCATGATTTGTACTTCCTTTTTGAGTTCTTTTCAATGGAAATATCAACAACACCAGGATGCTGGCAATATGAAGACAGAAATAGCAGGAGCTAAAAAAAAAAAAAATTCAATAAAACTCTGAACACTCTTACAGGATGCTTAGGGAATAAACTGTCAAAACCTACTTGCACACAGTACTTTGCATGCAAGACATTTAAGTCAGGAAGACATTAATATTTCCTTTTTAAGAAAAGTAATAAGGGGGAAATCAGAAATGAAGTCTTCCCCCACAGTACTTAGTGCGGTAACAGAGATGTAAAGTGAAGAAAAGTCTGCTTTCAACTCTCCTTCACAAAAGTTACTTTTGGGAAGTCATGCTATAAAATAGTTCAAGTGTATACAGTAATCTCAAAGTTACCCTCTGGGTTTTGGTTGGGTTTTTTTCCCCCCCTGCCCCAGGTCTATTATCACAGGAAAACAAGATCACTTCATGGTTTTCTCATACACAACACAAACTATGTTCATGCACTAGAACATAAATACAGTTTGATCAGCTAACAGTCTTATAATTATCACTAAAATAGCTTCAGAAATCTTATGCCACAGGAAATGCTTCTATTCCAAGTTAAGAAAAAGGAAACAGGTAGAATGTGCTTACCTGTAAAAGGTGAAAGAGGGTTTTACAGAGAGCAGTACAAATGGCACAACTGTGTAACTTATTGCTACTTGAGTTGCCATCCATGTTACAATATCATAACACAGTTTAACAGCAGGAGATTCAACAAAATAGTGTCTGATATTTTTTCTTATCTGAAAAAGCAGATAATAGTAAGTTAGCTTAGGAATAAACTCTGAGAGCTCTCTTACTATACAGAGTTCATTGCACTTCCACAAAATTCATCGTACAGTTTGGTTGATTATCTTTGAACTATTCAAAATACCCATCAACTTCAACAGGAGTCAGTTCAAATTCCCTGCCTTTTAGGATGGTGCACTTCAATCGGCACAGGAATTTAAGTATTTATGAATTTAAGCAAATGAATCCTCCCCTAAATCCAATGCAACTTTGGACTACTTGTCTGTAAGAGGCAGACATTCTATTCTATCAAGCCATTCTGTAAATACAGAGTGTTGGAGTACACGAAAGCCAGAACACTTCTGTTGAAAGCTTCTATATGGTAAGCCATTTTCATATACTTGCTAGTAAGATATACTTTAGGACAAGTTGGGTATAAAACAAAATATACAAAATATCAGTTCCAATGACATATTTCAGAGGTCTTAATAGCAACTAAGATCAAGTGGGACTATTATGAAAGGACTCAATTTTCTATGCTGAGTCTTCTTTTGTTCGTAGAATTCTGTTCAAACAATGGAATACCAAAGGTATTAAAAAAAAATCCAAAACCCATACAGGTTTGGGTTCAGTTTTATTTAACTCTTTAATTAAAGACACCAGTAGATCTTTGCCCCTCCTTCCTGTGACTGAACCGTCATCCTTGCTCATGCTCTTATTTGCTGACAAGCCAAGAGGGGCTCAATTCAGCCTCTGTGTAGCTTGGTATCACAGTTGCCACCTTCCAATCATCCGCACTGAGGTAGTCCTCTCTGAAAAGCTGCACACCAAAGGATAGTTTAGCTTCTTCATCCTTCAGTTCCTTTAGAATTCTCCTGGTTCTAAAGAACATACGGAAAGCTAGCTTGTGCTGATTTCATTCTTTACATTAAAAACCTTTTTTACCCTTCTTGTCCTTCTTACCCAAACTTCCCTGTAGGTATCACACTCAAGCTTTGCTTAGTTAAGCTAACTAAAACAAGTCATTCCAGCCACATACCCTTCATCCTACCATCTGCCACTTCCCGCAGTTTTCTGCTATGGTCACATGCAGTGACTTGTTCCTGAGTTCTGTAAAACTTGGATGAAGTTTCACAGATTTCTCACGTTGTAGAGAAATCTAGTATTTTAGGACTTGAAGGACAACTTTTAAGATAAATCTATAATTGCCTCTAGTAAACACCTGATTATGAAACATGTAATGACTAAGGGAGTAAAACTAGTTGAATACATGCTTAGGCATGACAGGAGAAGAAAGTGTGGGTCAAAGCTGCCAAACTTTGCAGTCTTAATAAAGGCTAGTAGAATTAAATAATAAACATGCTAAAGTACCTCTAACATATCTTATCAGTTAATATTAAGTAACTGTTCATACAGAAACTAACAATATTTTTATTTAATAGCCTACTGATTGATACATACAAAATGCGAATGCAACGCAGCTTACTAGCGAAGCCCAGGACGAAGTGCAGTGAGCACTCCGATTTACTGGGCCCACCTTACTGAGAGAACACAACAGCTTTTACCTGTGAATTGTCCCTGAGCCTTGGCTTTTGCACCAGCCTCTGGCTGATAAATGTCAAAAGTTCACTGTGATAGAGTCTGGAAAGGAGAAGGGAACTATACCTATTGTGAAGAAAGGAGTCAATTCTGTCAAACAAGGACTATAGCCACATCTTTGTGAAGAAAGAGGAGGAGCATCTGGTTTATTGCTGTTAGTTAACAATTAAATCTGAAGTACCACCTTCCCCTAGCTATTATAGCAACAAAGAACAGTCTGCTTCATTTCTCATTCTCCTGGTTCTTTTGACAGAAAAGTGGTCTGTTATTCTGCTCTGAGCTGACAGCTAATTTTTTTTGTTCCTCTTTCCCCTTGGGTAACTGATAAATGTGCCTCTGTTCTTACTCAGCTTTCTCAAGCAGGACAGAGATTTCTTGGCAGATATGCTGTTTCCACATGGTTCTGAATAGCAGCTGTAAAAGCTTGTTAATGTGACTGCACTGCCAGCTGGTCAATTTTGAGTAGTAAGAAAGATGTTCACCAGCTGGTTGAGGGAGAGCATTCTTTAGTTACTATCTTTACAATAGTACTGGGCAGAAATTAGGGAGGGGGACAGACTCAAATACATAGCACTGACCTCCCAAATTTTAAGCTACTGATAATCAGTGATAAAGTTTTTTCAGAATGATCTTAGATAACATCATCTCATTTAGCATGGCATAACGATACATGATCAGTTAATACAGAGGAAGGGCTTCCACAAAAGATGCTACAAAGGGGTTATAGGCTGCGTACAGTCTTGCTTGTTTCTTCTGACCAACCCCTTCTTATCAATAATCATCCCCACTGCTTTCATAACTAAAAAAGTAAACAAAACTATCAGACAGACTGTGTGACAACCGTAAATCACATCTTTGGACTACAGAACACAATCAATTTTCTTTTAGAGAACTACTTATTTAAGAAGATACTTGGTTGGTACTTACAGCTCGTGCTGCTAGTGTCATTAGTACTCCTGTTAAAAATGTTAAATAATATCCTGGGTAAACTCCATGCCAAATGGCAGAGAGGATGAAGGTTTGGATCGTTGGGCTGAAGGTAGCTCGCTCATAGCACACTCTAGCAAGTCAAAGACAATTCAAGATAAATAACATCAGACACAGATCACCAACCATCTTCCCAGTTACATTTATACATTTATACTTTTAGCAGTTTCATCTCCAACACATAATTTGCAATGCAATTGCAGTTTACTATTATTTAATAATGTTGCCACTATATTATGACTTACAGAAAATACTTGAAGCTATTTACAGCTCCTGATTTAGCCTCTCAGCGCTAACCTATGCTCAGTGCCATCATATATGGTACTTATTTACAGTGAAGTGATACAGAAGCGTCCAAAGATGGGTGTTGGTGTTAATAAGGGATCTTAAGCCATCCAAGAATGTGTTCGAAAAGCTACATTGGAAGGCACAGACTGTCCCGCAAACTCTTGTGGTAAGTCAGATATATATTTTTCATAAAATGAAAGCAGCTTATAGGAGAAAGGAAAAAGTAACAACTACCTTCAATTTTGAGTAAGAGAGAGACTACAGTTGAAAATATGTCTGTGTATGGCAATTAGGTGAGCATGATGATGAAATTATAATTAATGACTCTAGGGATGTGAGATTGTCAAATAAAGAGAATGCTGAACTCGGATATTTAAAAATTGAGACTCCGAGGCAAGGTCCTACAGTAAGGAATTCTAGAAGGAAGAAGGGAAACAGGACTTCAAGAAAAGTAGTTTCTAGAAGACAACATTAAATGACACAATGACAAACCATCATGATGTGGAAGAATGCTAGGAAATATGGTAAGGTCCTGATATGGCTCCCTCAAGAGTTCTTTAATGATCTGAAAACCAGAAAGCAATAGGAAATATGGAAACAGATGCACACTAACATGAAGCAGAAATAAACAGCACAAGCATGCATAGAATCATAGAATCGTTTAGGTTGGAAAAGACCTTTAAGATCATCCAGTCCAACCATTAACCTAACATGACCATGTCCACCACTAAACCAATTAAGGGTAGAGTAGCAACCCCACGCCTCCTGGCTTGGTGGCTGGATCATTTATAATGAAAGTTAAAGCTAGGAATCATTAAGGTTGGAAAGGATCTCTAAGATCATCAGTCCAATCATCAACCCAACACCACTATGCCCACTAAACCATGTCCCAGAGTGCCACGTCTACCCATTTTTTGAACACTTCCAGGGATGGTGACTCCACCACCTCTCTGGGCAGCCTGTTCCAATGCTGGACCACCCTTTCCATGAAGAAATTTTTCCAAATATCCAACCTAAACCTCCCCTGGCGCAGCTTGAGCCCATTTCCTGTCATCCTATGGCTAACTACTTGGGAGAAGAGACCAACACCCACCTCACTACAACCTCCTTTCAGGGAGTTGTAGAGAGCAGTAAGGTCACCCCTCAGCCTCCTCTTCTCCAGACTAAACAACCCCAGTTCCCTCAGCCGCTCCTCATGCATGAACATGAATACAAGGCTAACATACAAAAATGAGTTTTAACTGAAAAAGGCCATAGACACCAATGTGAAAAAAGGTTTTATAAACACATATCAAGTAAGAGAGAGAGAGAGAGAAGGGAATGCACATCTGTTATTCAAAGAGGAAGACAAGCTAATGATACAGAGGGCCAAAACATTCACTACTAGTGTAACTACTTTACTACAACTTCCTTATAGATAAAAGCTTGCTGAGACCAAATGATACAGTCAATGTTAAAAAGCAGAAGGTAAAAAGGCAGGATCTGAATAGGGAAATGTATTTTGCTAATTTAGTTTATTCCAGTCAAACAGATGTGTAAGTTTTATCTTATGAGGTCTTCAGTGCAGGGTAGCAGCAGAGCCTCCTCCCCTTGCCAAAGGACTTTGCTAACAATGCCCGTTAAGATGAGAACATGGGCCCGAGTAGGGCACAGGTGCATGCATGCGCAATACACAAAACTACCCGAGACATTTGTCCACAATAGATTACCTTAGAGGAAAGCAACACTGGCCAGACTAAACAGTAACCAGGGAATTTCAAAGAGACTTTTGAAACAAAGAAGGTGTGCCAGCCTAGGAAGCAGAAACACACTAGGCAAATTCGTAACAAGTCAGGGAGACACCTTGGAGCAAAATACTCCTCATCAAAACCTGGTTTGACATTGCCAGAAGTTGCCCCGCCAGCATCATGACCTCTGTGTCAGCCAAGGCAGAGCATCCTCCCTGGTAGACACCAAGTAGCCTGCATCCAGCTAGGGGACTACCAGTGCAGTATGCAATACACAGGGAGCAGTATCTCATCCCCATCAGCTGCATGCACATGAACTCATGGCATGCTTTTCTAATTGGTGTGTGAATCAGCAGGTTCACATAGAGCTGGAGTACCCACAGCTCCCACAGGCAGTGCAGGGGGCCCATGCTTCCAGAAGGAGGTGTGTTTTTGTAACCCACATGTCCTTGGGAGTGGAGGTTTGCATGTAACTGTGTGTGTGCATGTACGCTTCTTTTAAACTCTTTGGGATTACAGAAGAGTGTTTACAAATTTGTTTATTAAGCCACAACACCAAGCACTTACAAAACGTTATCTGTTCTAATACTGGTATTAATTCAGAATGTGTATTTCACTGGCTGGTGGTTAATTATGTCTTGTTAATAAATTGATAAATGGCTTCAATCATTATTTGGTTTAAACTACTTTAACTAAGCAGATTTTCCCCTGCAAAGCATTCAGGAGCTAGCAAAACTACCTAAATTACCTAATCAAGTTACAGCTATATCAATGCAAGTCAGATAAGATATACACTAGAAAAAAAAAAAAATGATCAGGCTTCAATTTCAAAGAGTTAAAAGTAAGCTTAAAAACTCCATGGATTTGTCAATAATAAATCGCGTTGAAGTGCTTCACTTGACATTCCTAAAAGCAAACCAAAGAAATATGGTCATCACAACAGGCTGAGAAAATCTATTCAAATATGGGTGGCTCAGGTTATCTATGATTTGCTCTAGAAGTGGGAAGATGCATCAACTGTTCAGCAAGGTACTCCCCTTGGTCTGGTTCTATGCTTTCATTACTGGCTCGGGTGGTAGACTAAGAAATATATTTTTCCACCCTACCTTCCCTTTTTTTTTTTCTTTTGCAGAGGGCAGGGAATGAAAGAGATTGGTGTTGTTTTCTTAACAGATAGAGCACTAGAATCCAAAATTATCTTGACAGACTTGAATGATGTTCTGAAATCAATAAGATGAAGTCCAAAGTCTAGAACACCTAAGAAGAAAAATGGAAGATACAAAACAGTGCCCATCCATTTCACATTACTGAAGAAGCATAGCTTCTAGTATGAAACACTGAGCATCAGCTGAGCATGAATCAACACTAGATTGCTACTGCAAAAATAGATAGATATAATACTGTGATGTATTAGCAAGAGTTATCTAAAGAAAAGAAAGGTAATTAATCCACTCAAAGCATTCAACTCTGCCTGTAACAAGCCAGGGAAAGACCTTGGAGGTCTCAGCAGAAGTACTACATCCACTGTAAGATGACAGGAAGTTTGGAAAGAAGCCAGAGAGCAACAAGAACCACAGAGGTTTTGCAAACATGACCAAAGAGAAAAGGAATTGAACAGGCTGAGGGGGAATATAACAGCTTCCCCAGTGAGGAAACGTTATCGTGATATATATTGTTGATATATGCTACTATGTAAATACCTATTTTAACTTGCATACTTGTAACAATAATACCTTTGAACTACTGTATTTTGTGACCTACACTAATGTTTATTAAACTTCTTTATGATCTTAGACAGTTAACATGTTTTTACAAAGGGTGTAGTTTTACACACAATCAGGGTTTAAGTTCGGTTTCTCTTTCAAGAGTATCAGAAAAAGAACAGAATGAATGCCGACATCTGATATTTCTGTATTTCATGCAAGATAAATGCCCAAGATTTTAGATACTTCCAGAAATGGTAAACAGGTGAGGTACTAAAAGTGAATGTTTAAAATAATACACAAGCTTGTCCTCTATTCAAACATTGCAACTAACCAAATTATTGGTAATGTAATATATACTCTGGACCAATATTTATGCCTCATATATAATCATTAAAGCAGTTTCTTACTTGCAACAGAACTTTAAGAAAACATCCACCCTTCTCCCTTTTACTGTGGCAGAATCAATATGTACTTAGACTATCCTCAAAGAGTCTTCTACAATTGTTCTTAAAAATTTAAGAGCAACTGTTTTTAAATTGAACTTAATTGTTCTTGAAAATATTTATTAAAAGAGATGCTTTAATTTTTCTTTGCATATTCTTTTAATGTCACTCTGAACAATTGGTTTGCTTTTTTTTCTTTCAATTCCTAAGAGAAGTGGTACTTGTCTCCACCAAAAGGAGTTTTAGTTTAACATCATTCAATTTAGGAGCTTTGAAAGTTTGTTGGAACACAACCTTCTCCTATTAATTTTTAATACTGATAAACTTCTGTTCTCTAAATTAAAATGCATTTTAAAATAGCTCGTTTGCTTTATTAAATGATACATTTCAATACCTGCAAGCATGCAATTCTTCCTTACTGATTGTCCTAGCAATAGATTCTATTGCCAATTGAGCCAACTAGAATAATCACATAAATTTCAGTTTCTGTTTTCAATTGGGTCGGAAAAACATTTAGTGAAGAAATTATGGAAGAAAGAGAATACACTGTAAAGAAGTTTGATGGAAGCAACATCCTGTTGCCAGCCATCCTAGAATAAGAGATAAAGCCCTCCAAGTGATCCCAAGATGGGGGGTCTCAGTTAAACTCACACATATTCATAAAAGATCATCTATACAGAGACTGGGAGAAGGGAAACATCATCCGTGTACTACTCAAGAACTCATTTTTACTTTCTAGTGACCACAAAGAAGTAGTAAAAGCAGAGCTATTTAAGTCACTGGGCACTATACCCGTTTCCCCGATGAGAAAAGAAGCACATCTGAGGGATACTCATTTGCAATTTTGTTTACTAGCACATTGTAGGGTTCAATATTTACGACACACTCATTACAGAAGGAGTGCAGAAAGTTCTCTCACAGAATATATGGAAGTTCCTGTAACTGTGTGGCCAAAAAAAAAAAAAAAAAAACCACCAAACCCAAAACACAAACACAACACAGCAGAGTTTCCACAGGCCAGCAGCCGAAGATATGCATTTTGCTCTCAGCAACATGCACTGCTTTGAATTCCAAGAGGGGAAAAACAGAGACACCTCCACAGATTAATACTTTCAGGTTCCCTATGACCAGTGAAGAAAAACAGTTTCTATCATTACCTGATAGTTTACACTAAGAGAGAAGTGCTAAATTCAAAGGCTTTAATTGAAGTATTACAAGAAGAATGTCCCATGCAGCTGCTAAACAACCACAGTTTTGTAGGGTTTAGCTTTAAATGCTAAATTATCTTCAAAGACATATTTATCTAAAAAACTTCACTGAAGAAAAGCTATCCTTTAAGAAATAAATACCTTTTAAGCCAAAGAGCTGTTTGGATATTCCAGTTATCAAGAAACATCTTGAAACTTGTGGAAAACTGTAAAGTAAAAACAAACTAATTATGTCCATAATTGTAAAATGCTACAAAATATTTCAGAATTCTGACATATAAATTACAAAAACGAACCCCCTACTTTGCGATGAGTTGAATAAGGTATTTACTCAACTCCTTATCACCACAAAATATTTTGGAAGTCAATTGACAAGTAGAACATATTCAAAACAGACTCTATTTTCCATCCTTTCCTAAGGGTGTGAACATGCCGTTTCTGACTTAGAACACGTTCACTATCTTGAGGAACAAAACACATAGGAAATGTTACTGAAATTACAACCAACCACCTACATGGGCATGTATTTTATTTGAAAGAGCCACGAACAAACCTCTATTTGCTGGATTCTCAGATTTGATATTAGATCCCAATGTGTGACTCCATTTTTATCATAGCCTCTAAAACCAAACCCTGCTGCATTATTAATTGCATCTGCTGCAATGAAACAAAAAGAAACAAGTGAATTATAAACTGCCTGTGTTACAAATTGTGCATCACACAACATGTAGTTTGTTCAAAATATTTATCACAAGTTAAGGCTACATATTTATTTTTTTAAAATACTGAGGATCACTGTGTTAAGACACTTGAACAAACAGAAAATATTACGAGCAACACATCAGCTTTCAATTAAAAAACTTGTACAAAAGCAAAAGAAAGGTAGCACTATTGACTTCACAGTACAGATGTCCCCCCTCTCTCACACCACCTACTTAGACTTGCTTGAGCAATTTGACAGAAAAACAAACTCAATGAGATGCATCAAGACTATGAAACAGCGGCTGGCTGTAATGATTTGAGATAGCAGCTCAACGCTCAGATGCATGTCTTTGGTCTTCATTATGCAGCAACAGTGATGTTTAAAGTGTAAAGATAAAATTGCATGATTCACTTCAAGCAGGTGCACATTTACAGCACCACACAGTGCAGTGCAAACCTAATAGAAGAGAGCGGTAATTTACTGAGCAATACAGAGTTTGTCAGATTTCCACTAATGGCACAAGGCCACTGCTAACAACACTTCTGAATGCAAAGTGCTTACAATGCATGTCAAAGGTCAAATAGTTCAAAGCAAATAATATTTTTCCCTAGGAGAAAAAGCTGCTACCATCATCTGGACTGTGTAGGAAGATACACGGGGTCTCAGCCTGAATCCCGCCTGTCACTTTCAGTCATCACCTTTGCCTCAGCTTTGTTAGCTCAGACACTGACATTTCCTCAGCTGTACTTCTCAAATTAGGATGGCTACTTACAAGGAAATGAGGGTTTTTTTCCAAATATTGCCTCTGTTGAGCCAGGTGCTTCATTGTATGCACCCAAACAAGGACACATATCCATAAGGCATGAACCCAACCACATATCCACTTACGTGGATAAGTAAGTGACCATGGGGAGAAGAATGCCAGCTCTGACCCAGTTCAGAGGAGTTCTGAGGAACTGGAAGCAAGGTAGGCAAAGGGCTCTGCAGAAGCAACAGAGATCTAGTCCTCTAGTTACAGGAGGTGAGCCCTCTCTGTTAAGCTCAGAATTCATCTAAAGCACTTGTCACCTTTTAAATTACAGCTAGCAAGGCAAGAGAAATTGCTCAGTTTGTATTGCCATATTAAAAAGAATTTACTTTATACAGCAGTGATGTGTAAGAAAAATTCATATCTTTTGCATTTTCCTTTCTTATTAACAACTTTTTCAAGGTATTAATCCAGTATATTTGGAAAGTAAAAGAAACAATTGACTCAAACAGTTCCTTTCCTGAAGTTCAGTTTCTCCAGTTATCTACCAGTCTGGAAGAGGGCTTTGTGACATTTGATTTAATATAGGGTAATTTATAATATTTTTATTTCCTCATCAATAAAAATTTTAAAAAACAACTTTGAAAGCAACAAGATTTGCTGCTATATATCTGATGGCACTGATGTCAACTTCAAACATTAAGACAGTGCTCAATTAGAAACAGCTGAAGACACAAACTCCATAATCTCTTGCTAGCTAGAGTAATCATATTAACTAGCATTTTAGGATGTATTAATTTTAAGTAATTCATTTTATTAACATATTTCTTTTTTTTAAGTGCAAAGAATAGCACTGTACAACTCAAAAGCACAACATCCAGTAAAACTGTTAAGCCCCCTCACATTCTACTCATACCATTAGAAGTTTAGATGAGGTAAAGTGGAAGGAAGAAGGTAAAAAAGGTTATTTAGCAAACTAAAAGTACAGAATTTATATCGTTTATTTTCTTCACTGTTTTACCAAAGGAATGCTAGCTCTACAATGCTAGCAAGCACATAAGGAGAAATCCATCTGAAGTATTACAGGGGAAAGAAAAAAAAAAAAACCACCCGAAGATTACTCATTTTTCAGATGACTCCTACTCTTTACAGATGATGATAGTGGTGCATAAGAGCACAATATTTGAAATTATTTCATTCTACAACAAGCCCCAGAATTACTATATCCAGACAAGCTGAAAGCACTTCATTCATTGACCAGGAATGAAACCAGCAGCTGTAAATGAGTCATGCTGTTCTGCTACACTAAGGCTTTCTTTATTGCATTGTTTCCCACAGATTCTCTCTCAAAAGAATTATGAAAAAAATATGTGAAACTGGAGAGGAGGAGGAAGCTGATGAAATCTGTTTTATGAGCCACTTCCAAGATGTCAGCTTACATAAATACAGCACTTTGCTGTTGTATGTGTTGCTTTTTTAAAGAATGTTTTGCTTTTCACTTCACGTTATTTGAAACTGTATCATCTATTCAGTGTCTGAAATCAGTGACTGTGGGTGTTATCCTGTCAGTCAATTAGAACTTCTGGTAAACAAAGACTAAAACTGAAGTGTCACCCATCAAATTCTGAAAATATTACTGCAAATCTACTATTAATAACACTATGATATATCTGAATTTCAATATATTCATTTTTCCTTCAAGCTTGAGTAACACCAAGTAAATTACTTGTAACTAACCACAGAAAGAGGCTTAGAATAACTTTTCAGGTATGCCAAAACCAAGGTATCAAAAAAAAAAAAAAATCAGTGATTGTACTTCAGACTAGATTTACTACAATTTTTAAAACGCAAAAAAGTAATTGCTCATTAATACACTATCACTCTCCATAAACCCTTATGTTTCACTCAGATTTGTTCAGGAGACCATGATCTCATTTGCAACACTGTCATGACACTGTGCTTTGGTATGTTGGTAAGTTTTGTTTCTCAAAAAGAGAGACACCATTCAATATACTTTGATAATACCTCATAATACTTAAATGTAATAATGTTTTCCTAAGGCCTCAAGAGGGCACTGTAACTTTTTAATACATGCTTAGTGTGCAGCATCTCAAATGAAACTCAATACAACCACTTTCTTTTTTTTTTTTTTTTTTTTAAACTACTTCTAAAATGTTCCCTATTCAAATTTTTTTTTAATATATATACTTACCTAAAGTCCAGGCAAAATAATACTTGGGTCTGGCAGCCATAAGAGACACGTATAGGTAGAAAAACCTTACAGGCCATGATGCTGTAGCTCTGAAGTTATCATCAATGTTGTATTCCACAGGCAAAGTTTTTGTAATAGTCATGTGGAAGAGTAAGGACAGTCCACAGATTAAGAGTTTCTGTGCCACAGCTATCTGAAAAGTTTAAGATGGGAGACTTTGTAAGCTTCATTTTTTGTTAATCTTCTGGAAACAAAGGCAAGTTATAATCTTTCTTCCCCAAACAGATGTATATGCATGCCAAATTTTCAGTAATATATACTACCAACTTTAAAATAGTTGGTAACATTTTATAGAGGCTCAACGAATATTGTTATCTTAAGTTGTGAGCATTGCTTCTCACAAACACAGCAAATCCAATCTCACTACAGGAAGCCTCTAAAAACCCTTTTAATAACAAGAAAATCTTTTGCAACTCCAGTTTTTTCTTATTTCATTGTCAAATTACTGAAGCAAGTAAGTTGTTAAAACACGATAACACAAAGCGTATAATCTAGGACAAGATGAATACAATTATTGCAGAGATTCCAAAAGCAATGGCAAAGCTTCAGTTCATTTTTGGTAATCTTTGGCATAATGCAGGTGTTCAGTTGCTGCCCATCTCAATATATCAATCATCTCTGTCAGGTTATTACAATATCTAAATTCTAAACCACCTAAAAACCTGAAATATTTTATGAATTTACAGCCAAAATACCTCAGTTCCATACAGACCTGTTTTCACAACTGGAGTGATCAATAAGGGGCCAAATAATATGCTCACAGACATGTAAAAAATACGTTGTTCAGGTAGGACCTGGACTCAGATTTTCTCAAAATCCAGTTTTGCTATAACCACCATACTAAAGAGTATGTATTTTTAGGAAAATGTTTCTAAGGTTCTATTACAAAACACACAGAGTAATAATGCATGACATTGACTGCTTTAAGTAGCTAGTCTGATCCATGTCCCAAGGGCAGATACGATGTTCTGTACAAGTTCCTAAAGTAACACACTAACCAAGCACCTACAAAAGAGAAGTTTGAGAGCTAGTTCATTTAAATGTAATTTTCAAGTTTTGATTGTAAGTAATCTCAATGTTTAAATTTAAACATTACAATTTTAATTTAATTACAATTCTACAAACATTAAGCTTGGCAAGGGGGGGGAATCAATCTAGCTAATTTCCTTTGAAGAATCAGAACAAAAAGATAACCAGAATCCTTTTTCTGTCTATCCTGCTTCCAGTATACCTGCCCAAATTTTTAAAGAGAACGTCCTGCTTCAATCAGAGCGCAGCTTCACATATCTAGTTCCAAAATAAAGAGTAATTCTGTTCCATGACACAGAATGGAGCATCAAGGGCTCGACCGAAAACACGCATTTCTGCAAGACACACCGTATCAAAGATTCACCCAATCACACAGATGTAAGAGGTGGTACAACCTGATAAAACATTAGACTTGGAAAAGCCATAAAATGGTGAGGGTAACTTTGGATATTGCATATATTTCATGTGGCTCATCTCAGAAGATATTTCAGAGGGGATCAGAAAACCCAGCTAATTAAACAAAACAGCTGGATAATTCAGGAGGAAACTACCTATTAACAGCTAAAGATGGTGTTTAATTATTTGTTTCTACTTGCTTTCTAATAAACTTCATTTTAATATTTTTACTCTTTTACAAGAGTTCAAAGTAAAGGGCATTAACCTTCTAGAAGTGTTCCTTTGTTTTTCTAGCAACTATTAATCCATCTCTCTTTGCCAGAGCAGAGGGAAAGTTCAGGTAATGTCATCTCTGTTTAAAGGCCTGGTTTTAGCTGTTGCCACTATTTACCAATAGAAAAAACGGTAAATAGAAATCATTAATCTGCCTATTCAACCCAAGACATGCTTAGTACCTCTGCAAAGGTTTTTAACTAAATCATGAAGGTGAAAGCCCTTCTTTTAAGGAAAACCATCAGAATTTCAACAAAATTTATCTTAAAAAAAAAATAATTTACTCATTCAGGGCTCTGCCATAAATTGTACTTTTAAAAAATAAACTCTGCAGTTTTCAATTTGTACTTGTAGAAAAAAATACTGTAGGAAGAAGGTGTTTTAGTTTATTTATTAAGTATTTAAATGATGTATTTCTACAATTTTTTTAGCAGCAACATTTAGGTGTAGGGACAAGCATAACTACATCCAGAAAGAGCATGGTGTTTTAAATTATACTACTTCACTCAACAATTATAAATCCCAGAACCCCAACTAAGCGTGCCGATACCACTTGCAGGGATCAGTATCAGGTATATTAGTGTCCTCAGCAAACAGTGATGGAGATAATCTCCTGCCTCTACAAAGACCGGGAGCTGCAGTTTCAAGACTGGTTTAAGCAGAGTTTCTGAAGGACTATCCAAACACAGGCTGCAGCACAAAGAAGCAGTCCTGCGCCGTCTCCTCACCTTGGCTGCAAGGCTTTGCTCTTTTCATTACGGCGAGTCAGATTAGAAAAGCAAATCAAGTGAAAATCTAACCTTTGTGGGTTTTGCCTTTTTTTTTTTTAATGACAAATTAGTTTTAGACTGGATCAAATGATCTGAATCAGACCACGACGCAGTGCAATGCATGTTAGCACTGCTACAATAAGCAAAGGGCCCAGAACCCACAGCCAGGGCCTACCATATGCTGTAAGAGCTTATACTTGGGTTGGCCTAAACAGACTATTAAACTACAGCCTGCGGCTTGTTTATAGCACTCCACTTTTGAATACATTTATACAGAAAAAGAAGTCCTTACCTGACACCAAAATAATCTATAGTTCAATTGCCTATAGAAATGCATTGCTAAAACATTAATTCACTTCCTGTTGCTTAATTAACTAGGTTATTGATACACGTTTCTCTGCCAAAGCATGAACGTAATCACTGGATTGCACATTCACAGGAGGGTTGGTCAGTTTTTACAAGGCTCAAGTAACTAATTTAAAAGTTTGAAGTTTAATTTCATTCACTCTTTAAAGTTTTCAACATATCAAGTTAAAAAGTAACACCTGGTTATTGTGAAATAACTCAAAATCTGCACTTCTCCAGAACCTGTTCTGTTAAGGAATTAAAAGGATTACTTTTCAATACTTTTAAACTGCAGGATAACTGATCTCACATGAAGTGGAACCTAAATTTTATCTTACAACAAAAAGGTAAAAAGGCTTGGCTCATTTAGCTTTGATGAACAAAAACTGAGCATACCTGCATAAAAATATCAAATATGGCCAACGCTGGGAAGGTAAAAAGGTACGTAAGATAAAAGACAGTGCCAGGACAAAACCAAATGTGCATTCATTAGATAGGAATATAATTAGGTTGAAAGCTGCATTCTTAATCAGAGAAAGGAGTTCAGGAACAGCTTTCTAATTGAAGCAATAAAGGTAAAACGTTCACTGAGCACAGGAATTTTATAAATATATTATTGTAGAAAAATGTATAATATATAAATATATACCAAGAAGTAGAAAAGGATCTTTTAACCTTTTATTTGAATGAATCTGTTATTCTTCTCAGTTGATAAACAATCAATAAGGAGCTCAATATAATAGTGAACTATATTAAAGCAAACTATTTTGAGGAGGTTAGCACCTCAGGTAAAAATTACAGGTAATTAAGCAAGAACTTTATAACCTGTAAGAAGAGTCTGCGTAATAAGCAAGAAAGCAGATATCTGCTGACAGGAATCTTGTATTTTAAGGGTAGCCATAATAAAAAGAAACTTACAAAGACAGATATTAATTTCTGAGAGTTGACACCACTTTGAGCACCAACAACTGATAGCTTGCAAAAAGGCACAATAGGAGGGATATAAGAAATAAGTTTTAATATGTTGACTTGATTCATTTAACATGCAATGAACACAGTGAAAATACTAAACCAAGTTAACATCATGCAGTCAACACACAATATAGAGGAGGAGGCTGGCATGAACTACTTTGGTTATGTAATTATATTTAACAAGAAATGAAAGTTACTGTAACTCAGCTGAAAGACTTTTCATTTACTACATTAACATTTGCTGATCCCCATTACATTTCAGTTTTTGAGTTACCTAACAAATTATTCTTCTTGAAATAACAACATGAGAATCAAGGAACAAATTTAGTATTAATATGAAGTTAATGGTATTTAAACATTCTTCTGCAACAAGACAATGAATATTTTAATTGATGCAGCAAATGCAGTAAAGTTATATCATCCATATTTCTCCAAAAGCACACAATACTCACTGGTGTTGTCAAATACAGCCAGATTTCTCTAACACCAGTTGGGAGATGAAGTATCAACAGCATAGACAGCTTCTCTTTATTTTTATGTCAAAAGCTAATGCAGCATAAATTGCAAAAAGTTTCAGGCATCTTAAGAGCAATTCATTTTAAGGAAAACTGCTTACCTGAAAGAAGAATCCATCATAGGTTTACATTTATATCTGCTGACTTTGTTCAGACTGCTAGCAAGATTATGTGGTAAAAGGCTAGGAGGTGCTACCAGGCAATCAGTAGATGCATGTCCAGAAGTATTGATACTGGCAGAATTGGTTAGTTCCATTTATTTGCAATAGTTTTACCACAATATTTTTCTGAAGAAATAGTATTTTAGTACATCAGATATGATGCCTGTACTGAGCCAACATGATATTTAAAAACAAAGGAAGTGTCTGCCACTTTGTCAATACAACACATCAGTGCAGACTACAGACTATGAGGTGCCAGTCTACACAAGGAAGCCTTTTCTGTCTTTTTCCCTTCCTGAGTACTTGCTCCACAGCACACTTCTATGAGCTTAAGTACTTTGTCAACATGTGGAGAGGTTTAAAATGTTATCATTCTCCAGCCAGTAGTTTACATTCCTGTGGTGCAGGTTACTACAACTGCACAGGACGGGTAGGGTGGAACATGCAAAGAGCCCTCATTCACATTCAAAGGATGGAAGTGGCTGGAGATGGCACAACTAATTGGGAAGGACTCCCTGGTTAGCCCAGCTGCGGGGATGGTAACCTCCAGATGGTAGGATGTGACAAGCAGCTACGTCCTGGGAACGCATTCATCTGCTCCAGCAACAGTTGGTGGTCCACAAGATAAGCAGAAAACAGCTAACTGGCACTGAAATTAGCAAAAGCCATTTATCTGAAGCGTTCCAGTCGACTCCATAATTCTGGCTTTTATGTGTGGTAATAATTATCTTAGGCACACACAAATTTGAAAGTCTGATACGCTCCTATTTAAGGGAATATGAAAAGAGTGAAAAGATAATATTTGGTACCCTGAGCATTAAACTAATTGGATTAAATTTAAAAAGTAAAATTGAAAGCTCTGAAGCTTGTTAATTCAGACCATACAATATCTCTTGCAAGGTATGAACAACTGGACTTTCTTCTTATGTATTTGGTCTCTTTTCCAATAATGGAAAAAAACAGAAAAAAGAAATATGTTGTATGGATTATGGCTAGTACATCTTTTACTATACCTTCAGATCAAAATCCATCTAATACCTCTCTACATGAATGAAAGCAAGAAAAATGAAACTATTTCTAAGAGTGTTTTTCAACTTGTTACATATGAATGTTTCCTACTTGCCGCAAGAAGACATTAAAAAACAGTAGAATTTGCTTACCAGGACTTTTTTTTTTTTTTTAATGCACAGTATATGCTTTGAGGGAAACATGCATGAACTGTTTTAATTTAAAGACGGCTTTTTACCATATAAGCTTGTTAGGAAGCTTCAATTTAATCTGCTTTTATCCACAAGGATCCAGACTGGAAACCATAGAGAAAACCTGCCTTAAAAAAAATAAGTATTTAACTTTTTTAACAGGGAACTATACTGTTGATGAATGAACTCCAGATACAGTTCAGAAGTTATGCCTGTAAATGAACAGTGCAAACCAAGCTTTTCATGCAATGATTCCGTAAGCATCGGCACTGCACGAGTCATACATCTTACATTTGGAGAAGGATCCGTTTGTTCATATTTTGTATCTTCCTTCCCATTTGCTTCAGACTGTTGCAGTTGGTATGATCTGCCTTCAATGAAAGTAATATAGTCTTTGTAAGAGCATAACGGGCCTGCCAGGATACCCATGAAATTACAGTTGTAACTTAAATACTCCAGTAGACTTGGCATGCGTCTGTAATTCAAAGATAAGCAACTTGTGAGATGGAATGTGTAGTTCTACAGAACTTCCACAGTAGGAAAAGTCGTACTCCATATTATTGCTTACTCTAACTGCAGTAAAAAACACATGTAGAAAAGCGGTTTGTGTGTCTTTTGTAATCACAGCTTAAAACATTCTACACATAGTATTTCTTTCCAATCTGTACTGAACACTTTCAGATAGATCCCCTGAAATCTGGTGACTCTCTCCTTGCCCAGTAGAGGTGTTTGACTGAAGATGAGCCTGGGGAAGGAGGAGGAAGGGTGTTTCCTTAAGTTCTTGTTCTACTGTTGTTGTTTTCTTTTTTTTCTCAATAACTGAATCAGTAAACAAAGGTTTGTGTTATCTGGCAATAATTTTAGTTAAGGAAAATGCCTCAAGTCAAGACTGTTTTGCCGAGGACAACATACTATTTTCAAGTCTCCTGAATAAAGAAAGGAGAAAAGGTAAGTTAAATACTGCAAAACAGAATTAAACCACCATGTTCCTTCACCAGTTACTTTATATGTGTACTAAATGTTAACTAGTCTGTCTGATATGGCATTAATGTGCCTAGACTGCATAGAACTTAGAATGTTTTTCTTAGATAAGTATAAAAATCTACTTCTAGTGATATTTTCCAGGAGAACAGATGTATGAATTAAGCTACAAATACAAAAAGCACAGATCTGTTTTACATGAGTTTGTAAACTCTCTATCTTGAATGTGAACTGTACCAATTCCTCAGAGCATTAATAAAGCACACAAAACACCAGCTTCTCCCCACCCCCAAAACTAGACTCTCAGAGATGTCTCAAAGCCTACCTTACAGCCAAGCATCTCTGTGATGGAGTCAAATCTTCATTTTTCCGAAACATTCCTAGGGAAGAGGACAGGAAAAAGGAAAAATAAAAAGCTAAATCCCCACACATTAATTAGCAGTTTCTTTACTTAGCAGAGCAAGCCTCATGCTGCAATGTAATTTCTTAAGTCCTCAAGTGATTCAGAGGTATTATGTCATATAGCATTTTTCCTGGAGTTGGATCAAACAATTCTTACTGTTGACAAAATTACAAGCTCTCATATCCTGAAGTCATATCCAACGGTGCCTAAACCTGAAATCACATGGATTTCAGGAAAGCTTTAAGAAGGCTTGTAATAAGTGTTGACAAATACAGTTCCCCCTACATTGGCTAAGATTTCAAAGTCTGCAGGTTTTAAAATCCTTTATTGCCAGTCCTGGAAATTGGACAAGCCCCAAACCCCTTTCAACATCACAGCAACCCAGGGACATTACACTAGTCAATGCACTTTTGATGTACAGTATGAACGCAGTCCAAGATAGATTTAAGCAATTCAAAACTTAAGGCAGACCTAAAAAGCACCTTCCTACTGCAAGTAAAGGTTGTAAACAAGGTCCAGTGAAGTAGGTGCAACAGTAAAGGGTGCTCAAGTCTTTTTCATGAGCACTAACAAGAAGCCCTAACCACTGCTAGCAGAACAGGGCAGGTCAAGTCTAAGTTCAGCAGCAAGACTGAATTTACCTTCTTGCCTTATGTGGCACTTCCTAAAATGCTGGTGGTCTAGCCCTGAAAAAATAGGCTTCAAAATTTGCACTCCCATAAAAGAGAAAAGTAAAAAATATTACCTTCAACACTAAATTATTATAAAATACACTAATCAAGGGGCACAGAAGAAGTAGAGCTCCTTCCTTCAGACAGCCCTGCTTTATATACCAGCCAGCACTGCTTGCCAAAATGACTGCTTCAGCTCCTTTTGCAGACTCTCCACTGGTTCAGCCATTAGCGCATGCATCCATTCCCTGCTATTCACATTTTGCAAGTTTTCTTTGCCGTCGCAAGCACTAAAACTTTATGAGCATAGCTTCCTAAAGGAAATTAAGTTTATGGAATCCCACTTCAATTATCTTCCTCCCTAGCAGTGCCTAAACCCAACAGCCAATTTCTAACCAAGTTTGATGAAAGAGTTGAGGTAATATAGATATGAAATCCCAATGTGCTTTATGAAAATAGGTGATTCTATAGAAGATCCTCTTCCACTCACAGAAAGGTTGCTTTCAACCCCACCCCCTGATGCCAGTAAATCCACAGAGGGGAGCCCTTATATTTGATCCAAGCATAAGGGAAGTTTTATCTGGAGCCAATTTTTTGGGGGATATCAAAATCAGTCAGGCTTAAGACAAAAAAAGATTGGGGGCAGGGGAGGAAGTCAAACACTGTTTAATTCTGTGACTCATGGAAATAGTTGTTATCCGAAGAGAACTCTGTTGTCTTCATGTGACTCCAGAAACCATGACCTATACATACTTATGACTTTAAAACTGCACTGTTAGTCTTTAAAGCTGAGAATACCGAGGGGTTAGCAATTTGCCATCTCCTCTCTTCCAGTATGACCTGGAAATACACCTTCCTTGGTCCTGATCCTTCAAAGTGGAAAGTCACCCCCATTCATACCCACTCAAGGCAAGAAACTGAAGTACAAAGCATCACCCCTAACTTCATGCAGGCATTTTCTCTTCCTCATCATGACATTTTCACATCTTCTCCTTGGTGCTACAGCAAAGATTTCTACTGAATAAAAAATGCAGGAGAAGCATTTTGAAAGGTCCTTTAACCATTAAGGACATAAGATTACAGTTGTCAAGTAGTGAATCTTTGAATTTAACACAAACAAATTTAACACAAAGGCTCCTATAGATAGATGTAGCTCATACAACATGACTAGTGCAGGGAAGGAGCTCGTACAGCGCCTTCAGTCTCTCTCTCACAGCGTATACAATGCGAACTAACTGGAGCAGGAGTCTCCTTCACTGTTGTATTCCATATAAGTACTTTACCCTTAAGTCAGAAAGAGGAAGCAGTCACCAAGTATGTCCAAATGAACTTGCATAAAGCCAGACTAACCACCAAATAAAGGTAATTAGTCAAAGGGAAGATTTCACATCATTTATGTCGTATGAAAAAGGAGGAAAAAACCTCAAACCTGAAATAGAAGACTAACCACTGAAAAATTACCTATACTTTTGGACAGGTAAGGAAGAAAGAATTGGCATATTTAAAATGGGTTCAAGTTATATGCATACATACATACATGAGAAGTCATTTAAGGCCTAAATAACCTGGTGAGAAATACACTCGCCATCTCAAACATACTGCATATGAGTAAACATCCATTAATTTTACGTTTCCCCACCTCACTAATATTTCCCTCCAGCCAGCAGCTTCTTTGAGGTCAGTTCAGTGGCTTTCCCTGTATTTTTCTTTTCTTTTTCTTTTTTTTTTTTAAATGTCTTCTCAGTGCCTTGAAGGCCCATTTATCATTTTTGCATAGCACACAAAAACAAAGAAACCATTGATTTCTGCCTCTGTCATACTCTTGGAAGCTTTCAGGAAGCTACTGTTAATATCTTTGATTCATAGAAAATACATATGGAAAAGGTGCTCTTACATTGATGCTTATTTAATATGAGATTAATTAATATATATACATTCAACATTTCCTAGGCAGTGTATCTGCCCATGGGAACAGAGGCTCATAAATCATAGCTGTTCCCTACCTACTACTCATTGGAGATGAAGAAACCCCACTTCAGCAACACGCCACTGCTAGGGAACTCATGAAATTTTGTAACCTTTCTCTGGGGATTATGAGAATTGTTTTCTCCTGTCCTAAAGTAGGAGACTACTGCAACGGCTGCAGCTTTTAGTTGCTACCAAATCACACAGCGCGGATTAGAGGAAATGGGTTTTATCGAACATCTGTTAGAGAGGTGAAATAATTTGGTCACTCAGCAACTATAACTCAGTTTTCTCATCTGTAGAGTAGGAAATACTCTTACGTTCCCTCCTTGGTAAAAGAATTTTGTAAATCATCAGTAATAAAATTTATTCCCAGCGGTCTAGATCATGAAGAAGTTGCATCTTTTCATTCCTCCTCAGGAGAGCACATCCTAATGGTAACAAAATCAACATCTTTAGGTACACACCAGTATCCTGCCACATAGGCTTTATTAAGGCACATTATGACTACCTACCGTGCTCTCACTATGATAATAGAATGTTTACAATCATATCATAGCACCACCCCAGCTTGGTTCATCTGCTTGAATATATCCACCTTTGTATATCCACTGGCTAATCAGCAACTCATTAGTAATGCTTAGACATAAGATTATATTACATGAATTATAGTTAAACATGGAGATCATATCACAGGCTCTGTTGTAATTACAGTAAATTTTAATTTGAGGTTCTGAAATGGATCACCAGCTGAGCCCAAAGGCATGCTGTTACTAAAACATTTTAAGACCTGAAGACAGACAACAGTTTTAGCTGTTACTAGCACACTGGCAGCAATAAAAGCAAACAGACACAGATGCCAGCTGAGTAAAATTGCAAAGAAACTACAAAAAGCAAGAAAAATCAGAAGTCTTGATATCCAGAGAGCTGCCCAAGCAAATGTAGGCCCAGAACAATACTTGAAGACTTAGCAGGGGAGAAGTACAATATAATTCTTTTAAACACTAATGACATGTACTGTAATCAAAATGATTTGGTAACTGATACTGAAACAATAAGGACCATGCTGTCAACTAACACAAGAGGGAGTGCTTAAAAAAAAAAAAAAAGACAATTGGAGAGAGAGCATTAAAAGAAACTCCTAGTCATAAGAAGAAAGCATCAAGTTACCAAAAAAAAAAAAAAAACCAACCCTACACCCACACACCATAGCAGTTTCACTGACATAATTAACAGAAAAATTAGAAAACAACATTCTTGGTTAAACAGCTGCAACTTTTTTGCTCTAATACCAGCATTTTAAAGTGGAACTGGGTCATGATGACCTATCAAAAATCCTTAAGAGTACTTAGTTCTACATACATAAGCACACATTTCTCTGTCTCAATGTTCTCTTGCTTATACTTTCACAACAGCAACCATCCAAAAACACTTTTAAAATGAAATAATGATAATAACATGACCTACCTGAAATCAGAAAAGTGCACTGATAGTTTGAGACCTTTATTTTCAAAAACATAACAACATACTTAACTGACCACCTCTCACTACAACAAAAAAACCCCACTTAATCACAGAAGTAAATTGGCCAAAACACAGTATGTTCCCTTTTACCATGGGGTCACATTGTGACAACTGGCAATTCAGCCTGGTAATCCTGTTCTGGTTTTCTATGTATTTTTTTAAAATAAATTTGAAATATCACAGAAATACATAAGCTGTTCAACACTTCAGTACATCCACTTTTCCACTCTTTAAACCAGAGCAGACCAATACTGAAGTTGTCTGCAAGCCTTTAGAAAGATGTAGTGTCTTTCTGCTGAATATGGGAATTATTTGCCTTTGAGAAAAGTAAAAGGCTAAGACTCTAGTTAACTGAAAATAAAGAAGAAATGTTTATATCAACTAAAAGCAAGAAACATTCTTCAACACTTCTGACACTATTACATTGTTCAAGAACAGTTAACAAAACCATTACTACTAACATAATAGCAGTACTGAAGTTTGGATGGGACTGCTCATTAGCTGCAAACCAATATGAAATTTACTTTCTAATTTAAACAAAAATTTAAAAAAAGTATTGTCTGAAAAGCATCCCCAGTGTATGGTGTAGTACCACAACCTGATGAGGCAGGTAGCAACAGATAATTAAGACCACGGCAACTAATACAGTGTTTGCACATAAGTTTCTCCAACACCACCCGAGTTTCTTTTTCCTCATCTCCTTCCCACTTTCCATGTGTTGCATCTATACATTGAAATACCTCTTCTCTCAGAGGCCATACTGGACAGATACTATACTTTCATTCTTTTGCAGGGGGAAATAGGCTCTAACAGCCTATT